AAGCAGCAGCACCCCCCCCCCCAGATATTTATCCACCCCCCCCGAACGAAAATATGAAAATCCGTCTCTGGAGCCTGCTGGTTAGGTTTAAATAAATGTATAAAATTTACACTCGAAATTTCCATCTATAAAATCCTTCATTATCATTATTTAGATTAGTCACTCTGGAGATTAATGGATTTTCCATGTTATTATTAATAGAAATAAATATATCGATTCATTATGGAAATTATAGCTTGAGTAGGCTAGATCTTGTTATTATCGGATTTGAAACCAATATTGTCAATTATGATACAACTGGCAATTGATATTCAACAAGCTAAGAACGCCTCACTTAATAATGTAATATAAAAATGCGATATTATGGGAAGTACTTTATTGAAAGATTATTAACTGCTCTTCTTTAATGTCCTATTTATTGTGGTGTCTGTATGTGTACAATAACAATATATGTAATAATTCACGCACATTGCACGGAATTTAGCTTTTTTTATCGAAAAGAATGTGGAAGCCACTTGAAAACGACCTCTAAAGGATAGGTGTTTGTCAACGTTTCCATATTGCTATGGCATTGTACGTGCACATATTACGATGCATGATGTATTTCATTACGTTATAACACAATGTTTTCGTTTCAGCAATGTATATGCTTTTTAGAAAATGCTATTGCTGATACGGTAAATTGTTTGGACGATGCGACACAATTTTTTTTAATGGGAAAAAGCTATATTCACCACACAACAGCGTATGCATGAACAATGCTATACATATGCTCATGTATTAATAATTCATTAATGCTGATCAATTTTGATAAAATATCGTTTAAATCAATGTTTTCATAAAACAGACAAGCATAATCATAAGAACATTATTAACAGAATTAAACATTGATTTGGAGACCTTGACCTTGTTATGTGTGAGAGTATCTGAATAATTGCAATGATATACTACAGACGGGTGTTACGCCTTTCTTATTCAGTAACTGTTTCTGTCAATCTTATAGTATCAAATTGTTTCCAAGTTAATATTTCTTATTTTTTCGTATTTTCATGCAAAGTCAAAGAATTTAAATGTTCAGTATCATAAAAAGTAGCATTCTTCCTATGCCGAGAATGGCAAAAATTCTTGGACAATATAGGGGCTTTAAGCATGAAGAATCCGAAAATACAATACCGAAAATCTGGGTTTCAAAACAATTTCATCACAAAATATCATTTTGACCACGAATTGACTATGTATACCCAACGACGAGTCAAATGGGTATACTCTATCATATAGCTAAGAGAAAAATGTTTTAATCCTATATACTATAACTGGAAGGAAATAAGAACCCTTCACATTCATCAGTGCAAATTTGCATATCCTGCTTATCGTAATACAGTACGTTTTCGTGCTCTGAGTCACGACTCACGGCGATATTACTGAAATGACTAAGCATTACATTGCCTATATACAATGCCTATATACAAACCTGAAAATAGTTATTTTGCTTGGAAGGAGAAATGTTTGGTCAAGACGAAAATTGGTCGCACGTTTATCAGTGTCGGAAAATGAATGAACAAAGTAATTTTTTTCATTTCTTTTGAAAATTAGCACAATTAATGTATAGCTATTTAGCTTTGTCATGTTATATAGTCCATACTACACTGCCTCTAAAACTGAGTATATTAGTAAATAATGATTCAGGTAAGTTATCATAACTTTAAAAACTCGTTAATAATTCATGAGAAAAATACAAAAGAAATCACTGCCGTGTCGCTGGTTTTATAAGCCTGGTTCACATTGATCGGCGATGTTCTACGATCCATTGTCTGTGAGCAACGAAGAAGAAAATGCACAAAACATTTTATGCATCAATGACCACCGACAATGGGCATCGCCGATGTTTACGATCAATGTGAACCAGGCTATACGTGATAAAAATCAAGTTCATCTAAATAAATTTTAGCTTGGATTTTTTCGGCTTAAACAACGTTTAGTTTTATAATTACTTCGCCAATGAACTCAGATGAGTCGTTTTTTAAGCCATTTAAAACATTCGCAGTCCGTGCTTTATCAGATATAAAACGCTCAAACTGCGCTCTCGTGTTTTACATCTGATAAAGCATTTCTGCTCGTGTTTTAGATATGTATTTGTAATTATTGCAATCTGACAGCTTCTTGTGGCAAGAAATACTGGGAAGTTGTGCTTGTGTTGCATTGGTTTCAATAATAATAAAAATGTGTTAAAAATAATTTTTTTGAGATGAGGTATTTGACCAGCCCAAATCGGGCGCTCACATGTCCGGACACTCATAAAAAACATTGACAGGAAAACAAGGTAAAATCTGGCAGGACAATGTACGACGTCCGCCTAATTCGCTGGTCTGCCGCCCTTTCTTCTCCCGCCCGCACTAAACGCCTGCTACGCAGGCTAGCTATGCCTATGTAATAAATGTTCCATCTTATAGCACAAAATCAGACGATGATGAATTTGCAATAAGTTGGAAATTACTTCAACTCATCTTGATGGAATCAAGATGGAACTTTAATAACCGGATGTTGCTTCGCAAGTTTATTTCAAAGATTATCGTGTGCTAGTGGATGCACAAGGAGGGTAGAAGGGAAATACACAAAGCCATTAGTATTCAAATATGGCACAAGCTAGGAATTCATAATTTTACTAACTTTTAAAATAACAAGTCTACTTACAGTTCTTGAATGTTCTTGAATCTTCGAAAAGTTTCTTTGGAAATCTTTTGGATTTTGTTTTCACGAAGATTTCTAGAGAAACAAAATGAATTAATCAAAATAATTTGGGTGCCCTCTCTGATAATACACGAATCGTCATGTTCATAAATGATTAATTTAAAATGACGTTTTCCATTGGCGCTCTCGTACATTCTTTTGCATGGCAAAACTGCTTTTCCATGATAGGAATTACCAGTATTTGTAGTCTCTCTCATTGGAAACTAGAATATAAGTTTTAAAATAATTTTAATTGTAGTGCAAGGTTAAATATTTCAATTATTCTGATGTTTATTAAACCTATTTCTATATATTTGTACAGAAAAATGCACAGCTATCAAAGGCTAATCGTATCTAATTGTATCAATTCCTAAGACGGATTTTCTGTCACGCGGTTAGGTTAAAGCAGAATTGAATATATATTAGTAGCCGCCACGAATCAATGTAAATTTAGCTCAGCGGAAATACTAACCATTGTAGCTGGCCATGCTGTGCAAAAATTGTATTATTTACATGATTCAATCTTTAAAATTGTACGTCTTTAGCCTATACCAAAGTGCATGCTTATCAGGAAACATGACGTTACCATGGTTCGCTTGCATGGCCATAAAATTGTTACCGAAATTCTGTTCCGAACTGTAATTCTCTTCCCTACGGAACATATCGCATGTTTGTTGCGGTATTCTAATGTATTTCAAGATTTGTTCAAACGCGCGTACGTTCACAAACATCAGTGCGGTAGCCGATGTATTTATAGTAAAACTCAATAATCAATATCTATTCAGCCTAAGGGATAAAATTAAAGCCAATATATTTACGCATTGAAAGTGTTAACATGAATGGCGTTCTTATCATTTTAATAGTGACTGAAATATGAAAGGAGTGGGAGTAACGAACTGAGCAATATCTTAAATGATGTCAGTGATATTGAAATGCGCAATTGAGCGCTAATGCAGTCATGTGCAGTCATATATCAAAGGAATGCGATATACTATTATACTCAAATGCGTCCATGCATAAAAGCGCATGGTAAGGGACGCAAGATATACATTTGCGCAAACGAATATAAGATCGGGATACTTTTGCCTAATGCTCTTGAAAATATGTAAAAATCGTCGATTCCTAGCCGCTTTAATCGAGTGATACACCGCATGTTTTAATCATTGCGCGCCTATATATTAATTCGCATGAAGAGTTTCCTGTTAGCAAGGCAGGCATACTGCTTGAAGACTATCAAACAGCCGACGCATTGTTTCATACAACATGCGCTATACAGAATGAAACAAATTCCTAATAATAGCACCATCTTGAAGTACTCAAGATATTGAGGTAAAATGTTGAGAAATACTACGAATTTGTAATATTTGTCAAGATGGCACCGTAATTCGGAGTTTATTTGATTCTGTATTTCGTATTAGTCCTGATTCTTGCGTACTGTAGGAGAGGAGTAGATTCTTTATTTGTCGAGTTATAAGACTCGCGAAACATCGCGAATGAACAAAGAATTCAATTTCGATTTGCGGTGCCTAAACCAACAACGGCATAACACAAACTTGCGACATCGCGATAAGTGTAAATAAATACAACGAAGGAAACGCATTCTATTTGGGCTTTTCAACTATCAGGAGTCTTTAGGTCATTATCATCATTCATATCCACGCGAATGTAAGGACTCCTTTACACATTGCAACTTGCGTGCCCGAGTTCATAGTTTGATGACCGTTTTAACGACAAATATTTTACGTGTGTGATTTCGTTAGTTGGCGTAAAATTTTCAAATAACATTAAAGTAAACCGATCTCAAATGGGCCGACAAATTGTGATGTGTAAAAAGTCGGTTTAAACAAGTGTTCGCTATGCGCAATAAGTGTTACTTTGCAAGAGCGTCGAATGATAATTGAACAAGTAGCTGACAGCTGACCCTGCTTTGAGAAGCAAAAACAATCGGCTCACAATTATGAAGTGAAACAGATGTTAGTAAGATAAAGATTATTGACTATGATTGTATGAAATGTCTTGTTTTAAAACCTTTTCAATGTATACTTACACTTCTGTGGTGTTCTCCCATGGACAGTTAGGTACTTCATTAAGGTTCCTATTCGAGCAATCAATTTCATAGATGTTTTCTGTATGATAGCTATGATTTATGCAATCGCATTTTGAGCAACAATCGTCCATTTCACCATTGCCGAAGTCTTCTGAATTAGTCGACACGTACAGAATCGAACACAAAACAAGTAAACATCGCAAGTTAGCCATATTCGACACAGAGTTTAAACGCACGGAAAGAAATCCAACTAAACACTTTGCGTCGAAGCAACATCCATCGCAAATGACTAACCAATCCTACGCTTTGCTGATGGCTGGACTGATGCCAATATCGAGGTATTGAATTTCGTACAAATACCACTTACGTCTTAAACAATTTGAAATCCAGCGTGAACCTTAGCCAATCATCTTTCAAGTTTGTAGGCTATAATTAGACACCTTAGGAATGCTTAATTATTAATGTAAACTAATCCTTGTTTCTTAAGGCCATTTGCACGCTTCTTCAAATACTGGAGTCCATTGTGGAATAAAGTTGGGTAACCTAATATTCACGATAAGTTTCTTTGAGCGACCAGTGAGAACTTAACACAACGCTGTGCTTGAAAAAAAAGTTTGTAATAATCACTTTGTGACTTTGACCACCCGTGCCAACAGCCTCATTTGATTGATGACAGGATTGCCGCTCTTAAAACAAATTTACTTGACACACGAAAACAAAATATGTAGTTATAAATAGCCTGGCGCATCACAATAATTACGTGGTTAAACCACCTTTATAGTCATGTAGTAAAATAATTATTCTCATTATTAATTACATTGGTCAGCATTCATCTCATGCACAAACATTCGTTAATCTCCCATTTTTACACGCAATTGTTCCATAAATTGGCTAAATTCTCCCTTGAATTCGAATTGAAATTTATAATAGCAGGTTTTGGAGATTGAATAAACTCCATTTAAATTAACTGACTTACTTCGAATCCGCAACATATCCTTCGATACATAAAACTGATCGTTTCCTTTAATCGTTGTACAATAGAGAAGAAAACGTCAAACGCTTTACAATAGAGCGATTCAGTGAAATGGTTTCTCTGATTGGAACCAGTGCATGGGATCCCGATCACATTCAAACTGCCAAACTGGCCTCTTCCCGAGCGCTCACGCCGGCAGAAAATAGTTCCGTAACAAAGAAGCTTTAACATACTATAGCTTGCACCTGCTTATAAGTGTCTAAGCGACACAGTCATATATAATTTAAATCTAAAATAAACAATGGCGTTCGTGCTTTATTATTAAATATCGCACGGACAGTTTTAGATGTACTTGAAACAGTTGAAAAGTATTTTAGGAAGCACACTTTATCATGAGTCATCAATGATGACGAATTATGGACTTTTGATGGGCAGGTATCCTGCAATACCAGACTTCTAAACATAAGGTAGGCCAACAACGGGAATCGACATCTTGATATAGCGTATGCAAGTTAGCCTATGCATGCACAGCGATAAATTCTAATACGATCACGATTCATGGACATGGGCTTTCAAGTTTCTGGCGACAGTTTGTGAACGGAATAAAGCCAACACAAACAGATGAAATCAAAAGGAATTTAAATTCATAAAACGTATTTCAACTGACATTTATTTGCTTCTTGCAAGCAACATTAGTGAAACTATTAAATTATATAAATTTAATTGATTTATTTAATTAGCTATCAATCCATAAACCAGGTATGAAACCGAGACTAAGAAGACTAATATCATCTACTGAAAAACTTTTAGAAATTGTGAGAATGTCATAAAAGTACGAACTAAAGTCATAATTGTTTTTCCTTGAATATAGTCATAATTCATCATAATATATAAAAAATCTTGATAGTTAATTAAATGATTAAATATATATTTACTTTACGTAGGTTATTTATGAACGGATAAATTCTTAAGATTGGGCGAAACTTACTAATTCTGCACAACTTAGGTTGTTGGTCCCCAATGTCATTGATATATCACAATGTTTACATACCCTGTCGCTTTTTAAAACATTCATTATTATATAGCTGTGTCCTGTTTCACCAGGTAATCTACGTGCTGAAATTCGTGCTTTATATGAACACATATTAGTCGTATTTATACAGCACATTATTGATTCTAAAATGTTGCAATTGACCCGAGAAAACTTAATGATACATTTTACAATGTTATTGTCATTGGCTCGGATTAGTAGTTGTCTCATGCAGCTAAATATATATTCGGGATCGAGATCACTGTTATGAAACAGGCGCTCCTTTTATTTTAGCTTCCGTCTACCTTATACTATCATGTCCTTCAACCTATTAATTAAAGTCTACACAAGAACAGAGAGCGGGTGAGAGCTCAGCTATATGACTCATTATCATACTTAGGTCATACTTTCGCACATAATTGACATAAGACACTGGAGTTTTTCAGCACAACTAATACCATTCTATTGTGCAGTCAATTTACTAGCTATAATACCGAGTGCGCGTATTAACTTCAGCAAGCCAATGTCGATTGTCGAATATTCCATGTTAACATATGGCATTTTTGAATATGCTCGGCTTTCTACTGTTCGTCCATTTATGGGTCTGAAAAGCACTGAAAATAATCGCCCCCTAGAGGGAGTCAATCAACTCACTGATCATGGCATTCGCTTTCATTTGGATGTGCTTTGGTTATTCTGACAAAGCGATGAGTGAATCTGCGGCCAATCAAAAGGTAAAATCCCAAAATTGCATGCGAAATTGCTACATTCATGTACAATGTTGTTACAAGTCTGCTGCATTATACCATATCTGGCAGGCGTTTTGGGATTTGTTGACAACTCAACCGTGAGGTTTAGTAAACGGTTGTGAACATGTTGTAAAACAGTTTCACTTTATATATATAATGGGCACAAGCTGATTTTACACACTGCTATCTTAAGGCTCATATTGCGGATTTTTCTATAAATGTTATTGAAAATTGGCGAGGTCATCAGATGACAGTCGCCACGTGTTCTTAAATATCATTGATCTGTATCTAAAATAGACCACAATTTTGCATTATTTTATGCATTACCCGGCCAATAAACAATTGTTCGTCAAAGTGTAAGAATTTTAGATGGAAAATCGTCAGACTTTTTGTCAGACGTTTTTTTTCTAAATCTAGCATAAATAACGTATGTAAATTTTAGAAATAATTAATTAATTAACCAATTAGAAATATGACTGGCATTATTGGTTCCTGTATATGTATCAGTCTTTTGATGATAGAACTAAATCAATATATAGCAAGTTTATCAGTTTATGTTTCTCAGTAACTATAATTTATATTTTATCCCCCCAATAATTCTTGAAGCAAATGTTTTAAATTAACATAATCTACTGAAATCTTTCTTCAGTGCTCCTCGATCCTTGTCTACAACCCCCCCAATCATCTAGGGATTGCTACGGCGCTGGGCTCCAATTGGTAGCTACAAAGAGCTGGTACTTCAGTCTTGGTACTACGTTTTGGGCGTAAGCCCGGGGCGAGGGTACTAATTGCGATGTCTAAAGTTCATAAATAATCGCGGGCGAACCTGGAGCCGTCTGTCTCGTCATCATGGTCTAATTTACCAATCATAAATAATCGCGGGCGCGTGACTATGGTTTATGGTCTAATTTAACAGGAGTGAAGGAAGCAAAAATTACTGATAAAAAAAAAACATGTAAAAAAGCTTGGAAATCGTAATTCACATAAAAAATTGTATAACTTTTTCTTCAATTTTTAAACGTAAACATTACGAGAATTGATTAAGTATGAGAAATCCTAAAGTATAGAGGCAAGTTTGTTTTGACTGTTGATGTATGACTTTATCTAAATAATTTATAATAGACTTTATTTTTATTTTATTGTACGATCATCCAGGTTAAAATTTCTAATTGTTTCTGACGTTTCAACGGATTCAAACCCTTCAGACTTTATTTTTGTTGTTCAAGTCTTTCCCATGCATTGTATGCGAAATATTCTTAAATTAACTTGCTTGAAGCTCATAAAAAAGGGAAAGCAAACTATTTTCATTAGCGCGTCCTGTATGATTTCGTGATCAAGCTCAAGTTGAAGAGTTTACCGGCAAAAAGCTGTTAATTTCAATGAACCTTTAAAAACGTTTTACAAAGAGTTTTGTGTTGAATTTTACCTTAAAATAAAGCCCATAGAAAGCAAATTAACATACCTATTGATAGTTCTGTAGATAAAAGTGTTCAAATTTCATTTACCGTTTGCACTTTCGGCAGTTTCGTACAAAAGGTACGGATCCCTCAGCCTCGCGAATAACTCGATTGAGGACATACGGACTGACATTAATCAATCAATGTTAAAACAATTAATAAATATATTTAGGAAATTAATGCGAAAACGCGTGCTTGAACATTGAAATGTAATGTATTTTAATAAATGCAGGGGCGGCGGAACAGATTTCATTTGGGGGAGGAGGGCTACATTTTTTTCCGTGACCTCCCTCCCCCCCCCCGTCGCCAAAAAAATTTCGGTCAGTGTACCATTTTAGGGGTAGATAAAATTTTTCCGGACATATACAAGAAAGGGATGAAAAAAATTTTTCCGGACATATAAAACAAAAGGATGAAAAAAAATTTTCCGGACCTATAACAAAAAATTTTTCCGGACATACACGATTTTTAAACAAAATATTCCAAATTTTTCCCCTTATACCTAAATTTTCCAAAAATAACCTACATTTTTCCTTAATTATCAAAATTTTTCAACAGAAAACAAAATTTTCTGGGGGGGCTTAGCCCCCCCACTTTTACTTCTGGGGGGCTTTAGACCCCCTAGCCCCCCCTGTTCCGCCGCCCCTGAATAAATGTTAGTTTATAAGAGAAAAAAAAAGTAGTATGTTGCTATGGCTAACTGCTAACATGACGTGAGCAACGCGAGCCTGCGTTCAGTGTTGGCGGATAATTACGAATACTTCACTTTGAAACAATGTTTGGAAAACATAGGCGAGAGGTTGTTGCATGCGTGTATCAGTTCTAGTTATTACTATTATTATGCTCTAGTATATAGAAGCTATAAGAAACTATGCCCAGGGAGTGCATAAACGAAACCATCCATATGACGCGTTAAGCGTTGGGAACAAATTGCAGTTGAATCATCACTGTGACCGCAAGAATTTGTATTCAACTGTTCAATCATTGATTTGTGTTTTAGCCACAATAGAATTGCAAATCATTTCAGTTGTATTAGCATATTTTGCCTTCTATGTAAAGCAAAAT